ACAAAATGGTTACGAGGTCATCACATTGACCAACCTTATATTGAAAGAGTTAAGAAGATCATATGCTAAGGATAATGATGGAAACAGAAAATAGGTAAAGACTGATAAATCACTGGATATGAAAAATCATCTCAAATGTAATATTGTATTTTCAAATAACACAGATGAAGCACTGTATAATAACAACTTATGCTGAACTAAAATCACAATATATGTAAAAATAATAATATTATTATAACACTTTTAAACTGCTGAAGCTTTCAAAATCCCAGCCAAAAATTAAATGAAAAAGAGTAAAAAACATGGGGATTTTAAACTGGCTATTTTTGAAATTTATTGAATAATGTCATATATGGTATTATTTCATGTCATGTTTATACTTTGGCTGTTGCCTATTCCTTTTTTATAGTTTGTTTTATATTATACTCAAGTTTATAGACATAACATCACTTTTAATGGCTTACTTGTCCACGTGACTACACAACTGAAGTACATATATTAATACTTGTATTTTGGATGATAAGATTATTAGTTCAAGTTATTCTTTGGTTTATGAATCTTTTAGATTAATAATTATTTAGAGTTTCATGTTTCTGATGTAAGGAATAATTTCATTTATCTAAGATTCCTGATAATATCATTATGCAATCTTATCAAAGAACAAAATAATTTTTGAAAAGTACAATACAGTAGAAGTTTTAGTTCCTTGTTAATTTCAACCTTACCAGTATAATTACTAAAATTTACAAAATCTGTATAGGTAAGCAATCATATGAAAAGAAATTCAGGGTATGAATTCTATATTAGGTTTGTAAATAATACCTGGTAATTTTTGTATCTTTTTATGTCATATTGTAACATGTACAACAAAAATATAATAAAAGGTTTATTAATGTTTGTAAAGAGTGTTCTAATGTAAACTTTAATTTCAGCTTAAGGAAAAAATGAAATTTATTACTAATGCTTCAAATCTCTCATTTCACAACATCATAAATTTGAAAAGTTTTTGGAGAAGTATGTTGAGATTGTCAATGGAGAAAACTGACTGACCAAAATATTGCATATGTAACAAATAAGAACTATGATATTACTCATAGCTGTTCAGTTGATTAATAACTTTGAATAATATCAAAATTCCAACAATTGGGTACATAAGAGCTTAAAGATGTTAGATCTGTTAAACTTCGCATCCAGAAGAAAGGGAAAAAAACTTGAAATATAAAAAAAGTGATTATATTACTAAACATACCATTATAATAAAAGTAATCAACTTGACAAAAATATTTTTGAAACTGGACATTTTTTGCATGAAGATTAGAAAGAAAACACACATAAAAACACTATATCACAAAAAGTACACCCAACAGTCAGTATGTTCAAGGTTTCAGACACTATAAAACATAAATCAAAAACTGAAAAATAGAAAGTCAGACTTTAAATTAAATTACATATTAACTGTACTTTTATGGAACCAATATTTCTGTCTATTTCTAAACTTATATGTATACCATTCATTATTAGTACTATTATCATAAAAGTTTTGTACGTATGCTCAATTCTAAATACCTTTCAGCTGCCTATTATATTGTTGTAAGCTATCTTTTAATATTTTAATTTAAAAGGTGTATGACAATATCTAGAAAGTTAAGTTTTTGTAGTATGGAGAGAAACATGGGTATGATATGAATATGACAATCACTGAGGCAGTTAGTTAATGAATAACCAGTGAGTGATTCAGTTCAGCAGTGTTAGTAGTGACAGTTATCACATCCTTCAGTTACTCAAAGGATTAGCTAAGAAATTGTACCTATAATTTCATAAGTAAATGAGGCATACATACAATTAGTTTCATAATTTCTGTTGAAACAATATTCAGTAACCTAGGCTTACAACTTTTGTGAACATGAACTTAATCTGTGGCAAATGTAAATTGAAGAAATAAATCATTACTTGGAGTGGATTTTGTATTGCTTTAGCAAATAACCAAGAAGAACATGCCCAATGATAGAACACATTACAATAATATAAATATTGGTACACAGTGACATACATTATAGTACTAAATATATATAAATAGGACACCACACCCTATGAAGAAGGTGTGTTTTGACACTTGGAGCCCCACATGCATGGGAAATAGACCCATCCTTGAAATTAAGGGGATGAAACATAGAAGTCTAAAACCATAAAATACTTGATACATCTTTTCGTTTGGTTGCTAAATGGTCCCAACATCTTATGTACACCAAAATCTTCTACAAGTAGGCCTTATAACTTATACTGTAGTATCAATCACATGGAAATTTAAGAACTTATTTGTAAATAGTAATAATGTATATACATATATAATGTATTATAACTGAAATGTGACTTATTTTACATAATACTGGTCCACTACAACACAGCCAAGACAGATCACTTTGTAAAGGCCAATTTTATATTAATGGATACAGTAACATGAGTGCACATGTGTCACACCATTAAGGTTCTGTAATGTTAGTCAGATACTGCTGAAAGGTCAATACAATAAAAATAATAGATTTTTATACATGTATAATGTTATAAGATTTAAGCTACTTAGACTAAATATTTGTGTTTTTGTGTTATAACTTGTAGTAATTCTATAGTGAAAAAAGCATAATTTATATCTATTTCCTATTTTATTATACTATTTATGGTTGGATAGTTAACATTTAAAAATAAAAAATACATGAGCAAACAATTAATTAAAAAGTGTTAAAACTTCATTTAAAAATCTGATACTTTGTGTACGAATGCCTTGTAATGTTTATTAATAATCTGCTAAATTTTGTGAAGATACGTGTACATTTTAAAAAGTTACAGTTATACTGCTTTATGGTTACTTTGGTGAATAAAGTGCTGGGTGGAATCCACCCACCCATAATAAAAGGGTTAACTACTTACTGAAAACAAAGATACAGACATTAACATTAATTTCCAATCAGAGTAAGCTGCTTACTTAAAGTGAAACTAAAAATAAACTTGGTAATAAATATACCTAATTTAAGTATACTTTTTTTTACATTCATACTTAGTAAGATTAGAATGCATTGTTTCATCAGTTCATTATCCTCGCTGTTAGGAGTATTTTCGGTCATAAACCCAATAAAATCTCGCAAGGTTCAGCCAGCTTAGAATTAGGATAGTCCTAAGTACATATATTAAGTTAACAATGCGAAACAATTACTACAAACAAATGTATAAGAATTAAATAAAATAAGATATATTAAACATTCTAATAAATACTGTTAATGAAAGTAACAATAAAGAAATAATAGGGTATACCTTACTTACGGAACACACACACAAACACTAGGTGGTGGCTTCAAGTACTATTGTACATTTAATGTTTGTTGAACAATGTAACATTCAATTTAATTGCGTACAAGATGAACTTTCAACAACCATCCCTATAAATAGCTCTGACAGCATAATTTTAGAGAAGCATGCCATCTAAGATAAATTAATACATTGGATTACTGATAAGGTGTGGAGTCAAGTAGCAGGACATTACTAAAAGTACAGGTCAAAAACTAATGAAAATATAAAATGCTAAGTAAAGATAATTAAAAATTGTTGATTTAAAAAAGGGTAATAGAGATTGTCAAAAAAGGTACAAAAACAAGTTGAAACAAAATGAAAATATTACATTTTCAAGCCTACAACTAGGAACTCTATAAAAAGTAAACAAACTAAGCTGGAAATAGTGTCTACATCACTTTCTCAAGCAACAAATCCCTATTTTGACTTCACTAAAATTGATAAGTACTGTAAAAATGGAGTCAAAATAGGAATTTATAACTTGAGAAAATAATATACACACTATTTCCAGCCTTGTTTGTTTCCTTTTCTTAGTCTCTAGTTGTTGGCTTGAAAATATAATCTTTGCATTTTGATTCAACTTGTTTGTGTACCTTTTTTTGACAATCTCTATTACCCTTTTTTAAATTAACAATTTCTAATTATCTTGTTTCTTAAGGTTTTTTATGTCCATTTATGGAGAATAAATTTTAAGCAACATACGTGCATATGCATTCAGTTGAATGTTGTATGTTTACTGCTGCATTGGCCTTTTTTTCACCCAACCAATATTTATTGAGAGTTGGGTATAGAGGAAGTCGCTCACAACACCATCACATATAATATGTTTTTATTGGCACATAAATCAACTTTAAATGAAATATAATCAACTTTTTAAATAGGTGATGGACACTTGCAGCATTTCATTAATATATTTGTCTAGGTTTTGGTGCAAAATACCTAACCAATTTTGAAACAAAAGTATGAATAATAATAAAATATGCACTCAAAATTTTAGCAAAGTATGAAAATCTGTAGAATAAATCACCACTCACAAGAGTAGAGAAATCTACTACGATAATTGTCTATTGTTAGCAAACTCACTGAAATAATTACAGAAAACCACGTAGAGACAAAGAAAACTGTGAACTTGAGAAACAATAGAGTACAGCAAACTCGAAAAATGATGAATCCTCAACGTGGAGGTTTCCAATTAATGTGCATTAGTAAAACACCAGATTTTTTCAATGGCAGGAAGTGAAGAACTTAGAGAAATTATTCAGGGCGAAAAAATGAAGGTGATTAAATTAATTTTAAAACTACCCTATGAAATACTCAATAAAACCCATCAAACATGCATAGATATCATTCATAAATTAAAGTGGTTCAACACAGAGTTATTTACATTATATGTTACATTTTGTGAATTATACAATAATAATACTTACTTTGTCCATAATTTGTAACCTGAACTTTGTAGTTGTAATTTTGTTGATAGCCTATAGGTGGAGGAGAAGGACTCCGAGGACGTTTCATGGCACCCTGGCAAATTAATAGAAGGAAAATTACCATTGTCCAAAGGTTTAAAAATAAGAAATAAACATACACATAAAAACTGAACACAAATAAGGTCACTCTTTTAACTTTCAAAGTTCTACCCCAGAGAAATAACAATATAACTAAGGAATCTAATTTTGTGCCTTCCTCTGTATATTTTCCATATTTCTTGTTTTCTTATGCTTTTTATATCTTTCCTTTGCTAAATCTACTGTTTGCTTTATTTTACATATGTTTTGGTTACATTTTACTTATGGACCTATTGATAGTTACATTTCACTTCCACTCATAGCTTAGAATTGTTTAAACTTTTTATCTTACTTGGTAGTTTAAAAATTTTGAGTTTTTCTCTAGAAACATTTATTGTATAGATTTAAACATACTTTAGAAGTCTAAAAATGTATATAAATTCATGAACTTAAAAGAATACTTGAAAAATTTATTACAGCTATGACTCATTCAATAATATTGGAGAGGCATAAAAGTTTTCTCATATGCATTTACCAGATACACAATATTTCCTTCCTTACAATACAAGTAAAGGAATATTTATTTTCCTTATCAAATCTAAATCAATTTGGATCTTACAAACACAATTTTCAATATCATTTCTGGCTGCAATGTTTACAAGGGGCTTTCACATGCAATTACTTAAAATTTCATTTCAGACTAAAATTGGTTTCATTATCAACTGCTGGTCTGCATAGAATTAATCTTATTTCTGACTCGTGGCTCTTTATAGCATATGAACTCATGCTTAGTGGCCTTAAAGATAAATTTACCGATTCATCAACCTATACTATTTTTTATTTATCAATATCTTATTTCTATCATTAAATGAATCAAGAAATTTCATTTATAGACTGTTCTTGATAATGATAACCTTGAATTGACTAAAAAGAAGTAGGAATGCAATAGTTATAAATTCATATGGTGGGAAAACAAATCCCACATCAAATGCATCTAGAGTGAGTGGTCCTGAGCTGAGAAACGAAATATACAATCACACTCCATATTTAAAAGAAGTTGAAAATCCCTTTATGAAATACAGCTGAAGATATTACCATGTTTTTTTTTTAATTGTTAAATTGTAAGTGAAAAAAGTAACATGTACTGAATTTGTAAACTGTATATAATTTACAACCCTAGGCTATATCCAATAAGCAATGTAACAAAAGCTGTCTATCAATAAACACACGTGCAACACAGCCACTATGTCTAAGCCTACTTTATATACTTTCTGATTGGTTACCTTTAAAAAGAAAGCTACAACAAGGACCTATATATAAATGTGATAAATGCCCTCAATTCTCTCATAAGCTAACTTTTTGAGAAAACAAATGACACATTAAGTACATCTGGAGTGAGCGATCCCCTCTTCAGAGAAGAATATAACATTTCTTATTTCAGAACATACCATACTGGTCCAATTATAAGGCGATATCTTTGGATTAATAATTAGGCTGTAAAACTCATAATCAGCTTATAATTGTGACCAACTACAGGCCCATTCCCCCTACTCTAGCCTGTTGCATTCCTGAATGTCCAAATAGCATCATTAGTTCTTGCAACTAATCCACCTGTAGGTTGTTCGGTTATAGTATTGATTTTGCAGACCTAAAAAAGGATGTTATGACACTCAATTTATTTTATTTTCCATGGTTTCTGAAAATGGGGGGTGGGGTCGCCTTATATTCGAGATTGGCATATAATCACGCCAATACGGTATTATATGACATTTTTAATATATACCATTATCAAATACATTACTTATGATAAAATAAAAAGTTAGATTTCATGTGTGGTGATAGCAAACATAACTTTTCTAGCATGTTTTAAATTTAATCATTAAAGGGATTATTGTGTTTGTTTTATTTCAGAGTACAGATTAGTGCACTACATATATATATACATTACCTACATAGTTATCAGTTATTCTAAATTCCTAAAAAGTGGAAATTAGCAACGTTCATTCACACATATAGCAACCTTAATCTAGATACAAGATGTTTACCAGACCAAACTGAAGTATAGATAATTTCACAAATTTTGTTAGTACGCTTTTTACTGTTTACCACATTTAGTCAGAGATCACTAAAGGAAGAAAAGTATAGAAATAAATAAATGAAATCTCTTGTGAGCCCATTAAACTCAAAAACAATTCATGGATCAAAATAGAAGAGCAGAACTAATCCACCAAGATCATGACTTAACTTTGTATATCACATCAATACAAGTGTTCCAGTAACATTAATGATTAACTCCTGATTGAAGCAAGCTACCTACATATATTAAAACAAAAATTATCGAGTAGTGAATAATTAATATATTGTCTTAGTTATGATTAGAATACACTGATTCATCAGTTGGGTACCCTTGCACTTAATAATATTTTTGGTCATAATCTCAATAATATCTCGTTATATGTTTTTATATCTAATAAGCTTATAACCCATCTTGAACTTTGGAGTAGTAGTAGATTTTACAAATTTAGATCAGGTAACCCACTGTTTAAATTCTACTAAACTTTTTATTTAGTGAATAGAAAAAGAAAAAAGTTTGACAAACTTTCTTATGTTGTTCTCACAAGTATTCTTTTTTTAAATCAATTATATAAACTAAGAAATGGTAGCAAATAAAATCTCTCACCTGAGGTATCACATTTTGAGGAGGAGCAGTAACTTTGTACATACTACTAGCTGAACGAGCATTTACTGCTCCTGTTAAAGAAAAATAAAAAAAAAAAAGAGGGAAGAGAATTGGTTGCCTAAAAAATATAAATTTTAAATCGTAACATTGGATATGATTTAAGTTAATGCGTATGAAGTTTTGCTAAACAAATTCTTTGAAACATAATGAATTAAACTTTACATACAGGAATCTTTCACAAAATTTTACAAATGCATGTCATTAATTATAATAATTTATAATCATAAAGGGACGAGTCATGATGACCCCCCCCCCAACAAAAGAAAACAAAACTACAAATAAAGCTTTTTTTTCATGATTTGTATGATCATTGAACCAGTCTAACACTGCAGCTGATCAGTGTCCAATACCATTTTCAATGCATGTGTGCCATGGAAGTTCTTATTAAAGAAAAAATAAGTCACATGAAATACAAAAAAATTAGAATCATTACCGAGAGGTTTTTATAATCCACCCTGTATTTAACTACTAATGTTTCTGAAAATATTTCAACATAATTCCTTCATACTTTGAAACAGTCAAGGTAACTATTACTGGATCTTTTGCTTTAATAATACTCAATTTTTTTGGGGGGGGGGGTACGTGTTATTAAATATTAATGATGTAAAAAAAAAGCACTATGACATATATAAGATCATATAAGAAAAATAATCTGCTTTGTAAATAAAAACAACACAGATGACTTTAATACTAGAGCCTGATTTTCCAGTTTTTGAATCTTGGGACTATACACAAAAAAATCTGTACATTCTACTTATTTTGGCAACCTAAACTAAAAAAAATTAAACACAGTCTCTTATTTCATTCGTTTTTGATAATTGTTATTGTCAATTATATCGACAAATTAGTGATCAATGTTTATCTTACAGATGATTTTGACTGAATAAACCCATCAAATTTGACTTCTAATTTCCATATCACTTTGCCTCTAGCTAATACTGATTTAATCATATTTAACAGATCCCTTCTCCTTCGTCTGTTGACAGAGAGGAGACATTATTACTCCCTTGGTTGGTAATTTTTGTGGCTAAGTACAAATTTCATTAACTGATCACTTTGTTTTAGTTTTATGGCACAACAGATTTACTCACAGCATCTGCTGAAGGTGAGTTCATTGGTCTTACATGGAAATGAAAAAGTTGAAAAAGAACAGTAGTAAATATTATTTATTATGGATACTACAAACTGTCAATGATTATTAATGCTAAAAATCTCCCTGAAAGTAACCCTTCAAAACATTCTTAATATACAAAAGAAATTGTTATATTGAGGAAACAGGTGTGGTCAATGTTTTGATCAAAAACCTTCATCAATCCCAATGTAGGTCTTTTGGTCAAAACGCTGATCACATTTTTTTTACTCCTTACAATGATTTTAATCTCTTCTATGTATGTTCAGATTTTACTTGATATTTTGTTATTCATGTTATTTCAACATAACTGATTGAAACTCCAATACTATTTTAATTTTACCTGATAAATAAACAGGAGATGGACCAAAAGGAATTGCTTGTTGTTGGAAACCATGACCCAAGGCTGCTAAGTCACTAGAAAGGTAACAAATAAATAATATTCATCCTAGTATCTTCAAAAGAAAACTAAGCAGTACTAGTCAAAGCAATACCACACACACACACAACAGCATAAGGAGAAAGTGCATTCTATAGGCTGGTGTTTTTCAAAACATACATGTCTGGCCAGATTCAGACCATTTTCTAGAAGGAGATCAGAGATTTCAGTTCAAATATCTAATAACTTGATTTTTTACACCTTCTTCCAAATGTTGGCTATTTTGTTAGTATAAAATAAACTACTGAAACTTTATATACCTTTCATGCCTCTGGTTTGTTTCTCTTCATTCAATTTGGACACAATAGTTCACACATTATAACTTGGTTAGTCTGGAAAATCTAAGCAGTGCCAAAACGTCATTCAGCAAAATGCAATTTGATTAGCTGACACACCAAACATATGTCACCAAGAGTTCTGCCACAAAATTCAAAATGATGTTGAAAAAGAAATGTGATTTTAATTGACTAATATACCTTTCTACACATTTATTTGTCAATTTTTAAGGCTTAATAAATAATCCCATTAGAAGACTATCAGCCAAGAAGGCTGGATCCACCCCTTCATGTGACTTAGTTCTTCATCCTAACATCTTATTATTGGAAGATCCATGTTAGAAGCAATTTTAGGAATTCACACAACAATAAAATACATTATGTCTATAAACATAAATAACATGACAAAAACTGAAGCTAGAGGATAATTTTAGAGATTGTATTCAGCATGAACTAGTTATCAAGTACAAACAACAGTAATTTTTTAGCATATATTTTAAGAATAAATACTGTAGCATATGTAAATATATTGGATAAAATCCTAATCACAAATCTAACTTAAGGTTGAAACTAAAGAAAAAAAACATTACATTGAATTTTTTGCATTTTCATATTTTGGTGCAAACAAATGTTGTTTTTCTTAGCCTAAACTTATTCATTATGAAATATAATTAAAACTAATGAAGATTCACACTTGTCCAACTGATAATACAGGCAGAAAAGTTTTTAAGACAGAAAATATATTTTGACAGACTTATCATCATCAAACATCTAAGGACATCAAAGATCTTCAGGATATAATGAGACCTATTAGGGGGGTGATCCATAATTTCAATATTTCATCACCTGCTACAAACCAATACACAAGATTTACAAAAAAGGCATTTTTCATCACACATTGATATACATAATCATACAGCAACAAGATCTTTGTTAATAAATGTTAATGATACTGAACTATACTACAGAGTCAGAACACAGCTGATTCGCTGCAAAGTTACAAATTTTCAGAAAATGAAATGGTAAGAGTTGTGTGACATTATCATGTGGTAATATTTGGATTATTTCCATGAAACTGGAACTGTAGATGAACTAAATACCCAACATAACAAATGACATATCATATACAATATGACTAAGCTTTCTGAAAGTTTACTTACTTAGCAACTATTTAATATAAAAATTATAGTAAAAACAAAATATGTAAACGCACTTAGCTTCCTGAACTTTTCTTCTTGTTTCATCTTCATTCAAAACTTTCTTCAGCTGGAGAAAGAGCTGATGTTTTTCATCTTTCAGTTGAATCAATTTATGGCTCAGCTTTGCAACCTACGTAAAAGTTTATAACCAGGATGAAAAACAGGAAGATAAAAAACTGAACTTACTACAAGAAACTAACTCATATAGATTTAATATGTAATGTTTATACTGTAAAATATCTACTGTGTCATTAAATAAATCAGAATATTATATCATAGGTCATCTCATCACTACCATTTCCAGAATTCAAAACCACTGTCCAATAACATAAAACGAAACAGACAATCTCACAAATGGTTAAGCAACACCCAGTACGACAGACAAAACTATCAATTCTGACTAAAAAGTTAGCACATAAGATCACAAATAAAAATTGTAATGGTTTTCAAATGAGATCCAAAAACTCAAACACTTTTGAATAGTTCACTGTTCTTCTTTTGAAGAAGAATAGACAAAACTATCATTTATCTGTTTTTTTCCCTAAAATTAGCCCGTGCCTAATTCTGGCTTCCAGTTCCATATGTAACAAGTACCTTTGGATCCTCCATTCAAAATAAACAGTACAGGAATATTCTCAGCTTGAGCCATGGTGTTTTTAGTCTGTCCTCTCATCTGCTGCTGAAATGGTGTTTTTGATCTTATGTTCAAAGTTTTGTATTCAAAGCAAAAACTCAAATCAGTATTTGCCTTAAGTCTTAACTAAGTACTAGATGTTATGTTCTAATGACTTGCTTAGATGACTGGGCTGTACAAATGGGCTCCAAGGACTCTATTAGAGTGATCACTTTGTCTATATCAGATAAGAAATTATTTTTATAGTCTCTTCTTTAGCACTCAAGACAAGTTCTCAATTCATTTACGGTTAGGATAAATTCCTAATACCAGGAAAATTAACAGTGTCTGTCTCTCATTATAATAATGATTTGGTATAATAGGTCAAGGACTTCATGGTCACAAGAAGAAACATGCAAGGAGTTACTCATCTAACTTAAACTTGTTTATAGTTTGATATAACGTACAACCTAGTTGCATAAAAGGCTGGGACCATATAAACTAGGGAAGAAACAGATGTAAGAAAAAAATGATTTGAAACAGTAAAGAGAAAGAATATAAAACTTAAAAACTACTAAAGATTGATTAGACCCAGACTTGAGCAACCATGAAAGTTTACAGGTCAAATCTAGAAGAATAGGTATCCAGATAGTAAGTATAAAAAAAATAATTGTTTGGAGGTCTGTTTGCACCCACTTCTGGATGTCTTCTTCTAGAGGGAATCTGATAGCAGCAGTGTTTAAAATAAAAGTCAGAAGTTAAGGATTATACATTCTAGAGATAAAAACCAAACATCAGTGAGGCAAGTTATGAACAAGGTGACAATCTGTGTTTACACATGGAAGAAATTTCTGACCTAGGTACCTGTCAGTTTACTTACTGTTAAAGGTCAATGGAAACTGAAAGACTTGTTAGCCAATGGTTGGGCTGCTGATATTTGCAGTTTTGTAAATTTGGTAGAACTTGGAAAGCTAAAGTCATGAGAATGAGATTAAATGATAGTACAAAACATTACAAAAAAGTTTAAAACTACAGGAAAAAGTTCTATGAAAAACCATGAAACTGAAATAAAGCATTCGTATTTACAGTTAGGCCTTCTGCTTGCTGTACTGTCTCCCACACTCATTTTCTCATGTGTGTTTAGTGTTGCTTCCAAATTAACTGTATTTTGCATATCTTTTTCCATCCTAGACACAAAGGTTTACGGCTTACAGAGCAGTTGTAACTTGCAAACTATGGTTAAATGTGCTTACTACTTACATTAGTTAAGTCTATGGTCTCTCCTATACTTACAGTCATATATTTTACAGCAACCTTCAAATGATTGTCACAATCTGTTATTATTGCTTGGCCAATTCGTGCTTCCAATTTCTATCACCAATACACAGTTTATGTGCTTAGGCAGAACAATCAATTATGGTACAGGTTATAGTATAACCCAAACCATATCAACCAATGGACTTCACAAACATCCAATGACAGGTGTAAGTTTGGAGTCGAATGTACATTACCCATGGAGCAACTTGCCACATTGCATACAGGCTTTATGCATGACATCACAAGCCTCAGTACACAAGCTGATAATTGCAAAACGTTATATGTGTAGTACACCGTATCCAATAGATAGCAGTACACTATCACTGGTGGGGAAAAGGCTTATGGTACTATCAGGGAGAAAAGAATGCATAGAAAACAAAACATGCAGCAAAGTTTTGGTGAAGTCTTTTTTTT